AGAGAGAGAGAGAGAGAGAGAGAGAGAGAGAGAGAGAGAGAGAGTCACCCCAATCTAACTAACTACGCCCCCCTCCTCCAGCATGATCAAGCGTAGTATATGTTCCCGCCCCCCTCGAACCCAGCAAACCCTTCAGCCTCGACAGGTCTCTCGGAGGTAACTCCCGTGCAAATGTAGAAAGCAAAAGAAAAAAACAGAAAAGAAAGACAGTTTTTCCAAGGCTTTCTGATCTCCAGCAGCAATGCATCCACTGAGTCAACAGGAGTACACAGGTGAGCCAAATCCCCCATCCCTCCCCCCCCTCCTCTTCCCCCGGCCCCCGCCACCCCACAAATCCCCCCTTTGATGTTTTTGCTTTTTGCCCTCCATTTTTTTTGCGAGCGAAGCCGCAACAGGTACCCTTGTGTGTACCATTAAACCATCAGTACTTGGCCCAGCTATCGGCTGTGGAAAAAATAGAGTAGAAACGTTTCTACTCGGATGAATTTGGGCGCTCCTGTAGTTGCCCGTATGTTTCCTAAAGTCGTGGCTTGTTAACGGGCACGCCTTTAGGAAATACTGGTGCTTTAAGGCCTCGGAACGAGGGCGGGTGTGTCAGATGATTCCTTGGCTTCCTTGGCTTGCTGATGGAAAAGGGAACTGGGCTGAAGCCCCCTCAGAAGGGATATGGAGCCAGCCCACAAGGTCCTCTTTCATTAGAAAGAAAACAAAAGAAAAGACTACTAGTATATACCCCCCCCCACCCCCACCAAATAGAACTACCCCCTTTCTCTTTCAGTAGCCCCATCGGCTCTTTGTACTTATGAATGTTTAGCCGTTGATGTTCATTTATCCACGGAGATACTTACATAATAATCCAGCAGTAATTTATAAGGTGGCAAGTCAGGAACAACCCTGTAGGGAAGATACCATATGTCGTCCTATTTGTTCCTGTGGAGCGAGAAGCCTAAGGTGCAATGATCTCAGCTTTTCTGATGGATCTCCCCGCCCCCCGAAACTTTTGTATTGCCCTTGATTGCTTGGTTGGTTTTTGAATGCAGGATTCTTTCCATTGCGATGTCACACAGCTTGGACGGATGTATTACCGTGTGCTTGCGGCACTGGATATTCAAGTGGTAAGATGAGGCACAGAAAAGTCTTGAATCTTGGTTACACAATGAAGACCTCACTTCACAGCGAACATTGCCACCGTCTTCGCCGGAATGCCATAGAATGCCTGGTCATGACGGCTGTATCTTGACTGAAAGTTGCCCCAAATTCAGCTATAATGACCGTGCATTCTATTTGGGTGAAGACAGTTGTGTGCTAACTTGCCCCCCCATGGCCCTTCTGACCTCTGTATAGATCTGAACCTCCCTCCATGCCTTCTTTGGACTCTCCCTTTCCTTCCACCTTTTCATCTCTCTCTCTCTCTCTCTCTCTCTCTCTCTCTCTCTCTCTCTCTCTCTCTCTCTCTCTCTCTCTCTCTCTCTCTCTCTCTCTCTCTC